TAAGCATATCTGTTCTTCCATGATCACCATCATTCTGCACAACACTACAACCAGGACAGAATGTTAGGATAAAACTTGATGGGGAAAAAGGGTGGAGAGCACCGGCTAAGATCATTGCAAAATGCAAGGAGCCATGGTCTTATGGTGGAAAAAGAGAACAGAGCTGTGCTATGACGGAATCTGAGACACCTGCAAGCCGTTCCACAGCCCGCCGATCGACCAGATCAGCCACAGTCACCTGATTCCCCAGCGGAACTGACTGATAGCTTACCTGAATACAGGACTGTGGTGGGCAACTTTGTCACTTGGAGTGAGCTGCACCACCTACAGCTAAACGTGACAAAGACTAAGGACCTATAGCGGATCTGAGGAGGACAAAAACACCTGTGACCTCTGTTTCCATCCAGGGGGTTCCTGTTGACACTGTGGAGGAGTATAAGTACCTGGGAGTGTACTTTAACAATAAGTTGGACTGGTCTAGAAACACTGAGGCGGTCTACAAAAAGAACCAAAGCCGACTATTCTTCCTGAGGAAGCTGAAGTCCTTTAACAACTGTGGGGCGATGCTGAGGATGTTTTATGAGTCAGTTGTTGCTAGCACGCTCTTCTTTGCTGTCACATGCTGGGACAGTGGTCTGTTGCTGTCGCACGAAATCATTCTTACCTGTGGTCATCTCAATCTTTATAACGCCTCCCTCAAGTAATTCAGACCCCCCCCCCCCCCGTAATTGACATTTATGCGCTATTTTTGCACGCCACGCATCACTTTACTTGGATTATCGCTTTACTTGGATTTTGTTTTACGTATGCATATATATACATACATATATATATATATATATATATATATATATATATATATATATATATATATATATATATATATATATATATATATATATATATATATATATATATATATATATATACACACACAGAAGAGCTATATGTGTATATATTTGATCTTTTTTATTTTTATTTTTATCTTTATTATCTTGTGTAGTTGGATGTGTGTATATATATATAAAACTGTAACTGGAGCGTGTAACAAAAGTAATTTCCCTCTGGGATTATTGAAGTATTTCTGATTCGGATTCTGATTCATCTGAGGACAGCTCTGACTCCACGCCCCAAAGCCCTCCTCAGAAGAAGCTGCACCCAGAGGTGGAGCGTCCTACTCCACTTGAAGGTTCACAGGTTACATCCAGGGGAAGAGTAGTCAGAATTCCTCTGAGATATGGAGACAGTGACTCAAAAGGTTCTATTTCATGTTGGATTCAAGTGTTGATAGAAACAGTAACTATCGAGGGCAGAATAATCCCTACGTTGCTGCGGACTGAGGGCTTTCTACCCCAACGTCCTAGTGTTCAGAGATGCTATTTTAATTAAGTGAGGTTAAGCATGCATGTTTGCTGCTGAAAAGGGGGAGATATAGTGATATGGCATGGTTGGGCTTCCGTAGCCGGGAGCAGACTGACGTATATAGGCTGAACATCCTGTTATTGTTAAAGCTGAAGTCTGTAAGTTTTAAAAATCACTTTTTTGTCATATTGGCTAAAACTGTCCCTATGCCCAGACAGCAGTACATGTGATATGTAACCTGTGAAAAAAACTGCTTCAATTGGTCCTGCCTACTGCCTGTATTTCAATCTGGAAAGAATAATTCGGGACGAGTCAAAACAACCAATCACAGCCAGAGGAGCGTCTGATGGAGTGTCAGTCACAGCTCCCCCCCCTCACCGCTTAACCTGCCGCAGCGCCCGGCTTCCGCAGTCAGGAGGACGCGCGTGGAAGTCATGGCGGAGCGACAGCCACCAGCGAAAGAGAAACTGCCCTTACTGCCCCTGCCGACAACTGCTTACACGGCAAACTTCGGTATAACCAGCATCTTATATCTAGCTACTTGGAGGTGAGTGTTATCGCTCTTACCGGTTCACACTCCATGCCGCGTACGCTGCTTGGACGCTTGTGGTCGCATGCGGTAGCCGCGCAGATGCTGTGAGAGGGGTGGAGCTTGGAGGTGGGGCATGAGTGAAGCAGAGAGGGTGGGGGAGTGGCGTGAAACCTGTTTTTCTTCAAATTTTCAGTCGCAGTCTGCTCTCTTCTCAATATTACAGACTGCAGCTTTAAGTGCACATTGGCTAATAAAGCTAAGTTCTACAAGCTTCACCGGTGGTCCTTGGGAAGTTCTACATAAAATATAGCTGTTCATGACGGAGAGAAACCAGTTATGAACTGAGGAAAAAAATGTTTGGGTTTTACTACACAAAAAAATATGTTCAGTTCATTCCTCTTCTTGTTCACAAAGATGAAATTTGTCTACAGTAAAATCACATTTGGAGCTTATACATATTGAATACATTTATCTCTTTATTTTTAGGCAGAATAGCAAATTTAAGGTATTTGGTTTTCAATGCACAGATTTCGTTTTTGGAGTATTCTTATAAAAATGACACTGTGACCTTTTTAATGTTTTTATTTATTCATTATTATTCTTATAATTTTTCTGTATTCAGTGTGGAAGTATATATGTGGGTATAATGGGGTTTGTTCTAGCCCAATTATGTTTATATGTTAAAGGTACATTGTTAACTATATAACTATTGCTATAGAAATGCATTGAAAAAAAAATGAAGAAAATCAGGACATAACATATCATCACAATGAAACTGCCTGTATACTTTTTCTCCATTTGAATACTAGAGTAACTCTAACATAAAGTCCAAATCTTTGGCTTTCTTTGGTAGCAGCTAAACCAGCAAAGACATTCTGCAAAGTAGGAGCTATACTCTGCTCCGTATCTCAACCTGCTTGTGGCGAAACCTGCATGGAAGGTTGTCGATGATGTCCTCATAGTCCAGCTTGTATTATTCATCCTGGTACTGCTCCAAGGTTTTCTCCTCTAAAATGACAAGAACAACTTCCAGTCAGGAGAGGGAACCACATGAGGAGCAGCCAGGTTCAGGATGGTTGGAGATACCAACCAAGATCAAACACTGGCTTAGCCTTAGTAATGACCTCTGCCAAGTGAGACTTCTTTCTCTTTTTGTCCATCTGTCCATCTTGGTTGTAGTCTGCATCCATCTGCAGAAATTAGTTAATTCTTGAGGCTGATTGGTTAGTTTCGATAAAACTCTTTGGGAAGAAAAGAAAAAGAGTTAGCTCACAATGAAATCTTCATCCTCGCAGTGAGGTCCAGAGATCCTGTACTCCTCTTCATTACATTCCTCCTGCTGTTCTTCCTCTGTCCAAGTATCCCAATTCCAGGGCTCTGAAAATGCAAAAGTAGCCTACATCAAAAATACAGAAGAAGCTGCGGATTGACTGCAGTAAAATTAAATTTACAAAAAGAATAGCAGCAGCTCACTGTCCAGCTTATCAACACCATCGTCATCAAACTGAGGATATTCCTCCTCCTCTTCACCATAGTATTCAACGCCAAATAACATCTGAAGAAAAACTGTTTCAGATGTTTTAAAAAGCTTTATGCTTTTTTTTAGTAAATAAAGCTCTTCTGTGTATATTTACAATACCAACACCTTAAGAACAGAGTTACAACGTGTACAGAGGGTAAACAAGGAAGTGATACTTTGGATACTGTGTAGAATTCAAATTCCATCTTTTTCATTCACAAATGCAGAAATCAAAATCTGGCTTTTTTGTGGTAGTTCTGCAGTACAGCCAGCAGATGGCGCCACGCGTGTCGAAATCCTTTTTTATGTCCCTAAGAACTATACAAACACTTATATGCATGTGCGTATACACACATACTAATGTATATGTGAGTGTGTATGGATATAGATAGATAATATGCAGGTCTGTGCATACCTTTGAGGTATGCATTAATAACTTCCCTCTGACGTCATTGATGACCACACTCCAGGCTGGTATAGGTGGCTGTAAATGCACCTCAAATTGGTTGCCATTGGCCAATATAAAACAAAAAGAGGATCTAGGAAAATAGGGATAAAGACTGACATATTTAAGAAACTCATATTATAACTACCTTAAAATATATTCAAATGGTTCTTTTAAATTAAAGGATGTGTGGGAATAGGAATATATATATACCAGAGTTTAAAATATACATTTATAAAAGAATATCTGATCAACGATCTGCTTTCACGGCAGAAATGGTGGCAATTATATCAAGCTTATAATGGGTAGAGGAAGTTAGACCAGACATGGTGATGATCTGTACAGATTCCAAAACAGTATGCTGATGAAGGTTCTCAGTCAATTTTTACGGAAAGATTCCAAAACAGTTTTAGAAAGTATTCAGGGAGCAGGAAATGATAGAAAAGATTTAGTATTAGAAATCTATCAGTCTATTTAGATTATATAGGGATGGCATTGATATTTGGTATGTTGGGTTCCAGCACATGAAGGGGTAAAAGGCAATGAAAAGGCAGATATATTGGCATAAAGGGCTTTAGAGGGAACAATAACAATTACAATTCCTTTTGAGAAAGGGGAAGGAAAATCACTTATTAAGAGTAAAGAAATGGAAAAATGGCAAAAGAGGTTGAATGAAGATAAGAAAGTCAGTATTAAATAGAATAATTAATAAGAATACATTACAGAGGGGAAGAAGTAATAATGGTCAGATTAACAGTGGGTCATACATATTTAAATTACAATTTATATTTAATATGGAGGAAAATAATGATAAATGTGAAGGATGTGGAGAAAAAGAAAATATAGAACATGTACTGATTAACTGTAAAACATGTAAACATGAAAGGGAGAAACTGAGAAGAATGGTTGGAAGGATAGGCTAGTAATGGAGTCCTAAAGAAATATGTGGAAATGAAGGAAATATAAAGGATATTCACAGATTAAGGAGAGCATTATTTATTTATCTACAGAATACAAAATAAAAAATAGAATTTGATGTAAAGTAATGTTGCTGCACACTCATGTACAGTAGGTGGCGATATGCACCTTAAAGTTGCTGGCGATCCGCCATAACAGAAAAGAAGAAGAAGAATGAAAAGCAAAAGAAGAAGAAGTAGAAAAATAAGAAAGATGGCGGCGCACTGCTCTACGTGGTATTCTTGTTTTATCTTGAGCGCGGATCTGCTTTTCTTTCAGATAATGAAAGAAGTTGGAGCTTAGAAGCAGCAGTTTTACCTCCTGTAGTCTGGAAAGAAGTCCAGCGGATTGAAGCTCAGCTGATCGGAGGGAGAAAGCAGCTCAGGAAACCACAGTGGATACAGGAGATGAAGAAACCCCGAACAATGGAGGGAGGTTTGCAGTCTGAAGCTTTGCTCCAGAAGTTAGGTTTGTGTTTCCTGCAGGTTTATTTAATGGTATCCATAGCAACCGATAGCAGGGATATAAAAACAAAAACACGTGAGCTTCCTGAAATCTTAGTGTATTTCTGTGTTTTTCTGAGATTTATTTATTTTTTAAATATTGAGCACTTAATAGAACAAACGATTAAGGTGGAGATTATTTATATTACTAAATAAAAAGCATAAAAGTAACATACAGTAAAACGATAAAAACAAAGGGATAAAGCATAATTAAAAATGGAAGAGTGATATTCAGGTAAATAAAAAATAAAGTAATTTAACAGCACATTCATGTTAGATAAGTTAGAGATTTTACCTAAAGCTTTTATTCCCACAATGAGACATATTGGGCTAGTCTTTAAACACAGTGTATCTCTTAATCTCATCAAATACTAAATGTTTTATTTTTTTACTGAGTGTCTACAGGTCCTTAAAAATTCTTCAACTTAAAATCTTGAAATGTTAAGCTTTAAATTCACTGAATCAAGTCTTAATTTTTTTTTAAATGGGTCTTAATTTTCTTTACTGCATGTGAAGCTGCATCAAAAGCTCAAATCACAACACGTCATTTTGAGGATCTTTTGCAGAGACGATGCAATCATGAACAGATTGGTTAAAAGTTTTCTAAGGAAAATCAGCTGATTGCATGACTGCAGGATTCACCCTTCCTGAATGAGCATGTGGGATAGTAGACATTTGCTGCAGCAGCAGTGGAGAAGGAAAACTACCTTTTAACTGGAAGAAACCAGTAGAACCAGGTTCTGTTCCAGTGGAAGCGGTACAGCTGTGCTGCGCCTTTTTAGCTGAACGAAGAAACTAGTCAGTTCAAACAGTTCAACCTGGTGGGCTTCTGGAGTGCTCACTCTTTCTCGCAAATATGCAGCTGTTCTAGTTTCATCAACTTTAAGCCATACTTTTAAATGCTACAGCATAAACAGATGGCTGCGCGCACACACTACTACAGATTCTTCTTTGCTGATATTGGGGAGCTTTTATTTCTGGTCGGTGGACGGCATTGAATCTAGTCATTTAAAATAAATATTATTGAATGATTTTGGGAGAATTGAAAGGTTGGAACTGGTTCGGATTAAATAAAGATTCTCCAAATATAGATTCCCCTAATCCTAATGCAAGCGTTTCTGTATTTCTGGCAGTTGTTAAAGAAGAGCTTCTTGAGCGACAGAGTCCTGATGTGGAACAGCAGAAACCAGAGATTCTACATGTAAAGGAGGAACAAGATGAACGCTGGGCCAGTCTGGAGGGAGAAGAATTTAGTATAAAGGAGGAGCCTGATGCCACAGGATTCCCCACAATTGAAGTTCGTGTGTGGAATGAAGAAGATGAAGAGAAACCTTTGCTTAAACAACCCCTAATAGAAAACGGAGATCCTGTAAAAGCAGAAACTGATGAAGAGGGATGTGGAGGGACAAAATCCATCAGTAACCCAGATCTAAAAACATACGGTAACGCTCCTCTCTCATCAGAAACTAAAGTTTGTGAGGATAATGATGTGAACTATCCCAGCCCCAGGCTCAAACACGTATCAGAGTCTGAGACTGAAGACAGTGATGATGATTGGAAGAAGGCTTTAAATTTGGATGGAAGCACTGTCAACAAGTCTATGAGCAGCTCTGAGTGTGAAAAAACATTTAACAGTCTTTCTTTTCAGAGGAAAATTAGTTCAGTAACAGGTTCTTCTGACTATCTATTTAATAAATGTTTAAGAGAGATGGAGGATGCAGAACCACGTATAGAAGCTCCGACAGATTCTAAAAGGTTTCGCTGCAATGAATGTGGTAAAAGTTGAAATTCTAAAAAGTATCTAACCGTACACATGAGAAGTCATTTAGGAGTTAATACATATGATTGTGAAGTTTGTGGAAAAAGAATGAAAACAAAATCCAATCTAAAGACACACCAGAAAATTCACACGGGTGAAAAACCTTTTGGTTGTGATATGTGTAGTAAAAGATTTCTATGGAAATCTTCTTTAGACATACATACCAGAATTCACACAGGTGAAAATGTTTTTGGTTGCCATGCTTGTGGGAGAAGATTTACACGAAAATGTGACTTAAACGTGCATATGAGAACTCACACTGGTGAAAAAGCTTTTGGTTGCCATGCTTGTGGTAAAACATTTACAAGGAAATGTGACCTAAATGTGCATATGAGAACTCACACTGGTGAAAAAGCTTTTGCTTGTGATATTTGTGAAAAAAGATTTTTACGAAAGTCTCATTTAAATGTACATATGAGAATTCACACTGGCATAAAAGCTTTTTGCTGTGATGCTTGCGGTAAAAGATTTTGTGACGGATCGACTTTAAAAAAACACATGACAACTCATACTGGTGAAAAACACGCTAATTGTGATGCATGTGGTAAAGGATTTCGTGACCAGTCAGTTTTAAACAAACACATGAGAACTCACACAGGTGAAAAACCCTTTAGTTGTGATGCATGTGGTAAAAGAATGTGTGACCAGTCGACCCTTAAAGCTCATATGAGAATTCATAATGATGAAAAGCCCTTTAGTTGTGATGGTTGTTGTAAAATATTTCGTGATCAGTCCAGTTTAAAAAAACACATGAAAATGCACACAGGTGAAAAACCCTTTAGTTGTGATGAATGTGGTAAAAGATTTCGTGTCAGGTCAGTCCTTAAAAAACATATGAGAACTCACACAGGTGAAAAGCCCTTTAGTTGTGATGCATGTGGTAAAAGATTGTGTGACAAGTTGACTCTGGAAAGCAACATTAGAACTCACACAGGGGAAAAACCCTTTAGTTGTGAAGCTTGTGAAAAAAGATTTCGTGACAAGTCAACTCTAAATAAACATATGAAAACTCACACAAGTAAAAAACCATTTAGTTGTGATGTTTGTGATAAAAGATTCTATAGCTGGTCAACACTAAAAAAACACAGTAGAACGCACACAAATGAAAAACCCTTTAGCTGTGATGAGTGCGGGAAAAGTTTTCGTGAACCATCAATTTTAAAAAGACACATAAAAACTCACACTGGTGAAAAACCCTTCAGTTGTGATGTATGTGGTAAAAGATTTCGTGACAGCTCGGGTCTGAAAAGCCACGTACGAACTCACACGGGTGAAAAACCTTTTAGTTGTGATTTGTGTGGTAAATGTTTCTGTGAGCAATCAAGTCTAAACAAACACGTGAAAACACACACGGATGAGAAACATGTGACACGTGAAAAAGATTTCGTGATTAGTCAAATCTAAAAAGCCATTTGAGAACTCACACAGGTGAAAAATACCACAGTTTACATATGCTGACAGCTCTGCAAAACAGATTACCACTTGCATGTAGTGTCTGTCTCCCTGAAAACTCCTGGATCAGCTTTTCTGAAAGTTTGACTCTATGTCAAGCTACAAAAGGTCAAGTTTTGAACTCCAGTGTCTGTTGCTGGGATATCAGGACACGCTGCTCCCAACGCTCAGATGCACCACAGTAGCCCTCGGCGCTACTTGACGCCATCATTGATAGACTTTGCATACCTAACACGTGCTCTGACGCCAAGAACGCTTTTGGTGAGAACGCACCAATAGAACTTTCAACACATTCAAATTGTTCTGAACAAGTTTATTTTAACTCATTCCAAATCCTGAAGAGAAATGTGTTCTCCAAACCAGCCTGTTAGAATCTACTGTAATATTCATTAAAGTTTTTTTAACTAATTTATATTTTTGTTTTTTGTTTTTTACTTTTTTATATTTCTCTAATCAGATGAATTTAGCTGAATAGTAGTTTTAATTCAACCTGCCAATTTGATGACTTTGCTGCTATGTTTGGCAACTTTTCAGGCACTTGTAGTGACTTTTCAGCATGTTTTCTTCAACACACCTGTATCGAATACTCAGGTCATTAGCAGGACTCTGGAAGACTTGACTGCATGCTGAGCACTGTTGTTTTAGCCAACGATGATGATGACAAAAGTATTTTGTTGAAGCTCCTTATTTTCATAAGGAAAACCGATGAGCAAAACATAGATCTTTGATGACGAATACATGATGACTCAGGGATGTGTATTTTTGTTGATGAGAGGAAATAAAAAAGTTATTTGGTGGTCTGTCAGATGCTTCAAATGTATCATTGTGCTGTAATCGGCTACAACAAATTTTCCTCAAAAGATCATAATATCCTCAATAGATCACATTATCAAAGTGCAATCCTTTGAATAATAATAATATACTATATAAGTATATAATATTTGTAAAACATAATTCTATAGTGATATAAAACTTTGTGTTTATCATATTATTTATTTGCAAAATATATGACTTTCCATATATCTCATCCAGACGGAGTTCAGCTTAAATAGTTTTTAATCTGAATAAATATGTGTAATCTAACTGAAAGGTAATTTTAAAATTTGTTTTGGTCTTTTAAGGGGTTCTGACCACTAATCTCTATTTATTCGCTGGATTGACGATTGCCCGTTGGTAGTAGTTGAAGGGAAGCAACTGGCTGCCATATTGGTACTCCCTAGTTAGACCTGTTGCAAAGTAAACAATCCGTGGGCTACAGCACCGAACAACGAGGATGTTCTCATTTTCATTGGGCCTTAAGACTTTTAAAATAAAGATAAATTCATCACTTTGACAGACACTTGCTGGTTCATAGCATCAGTAGATTACTTTTAGCTTGTAATAAAACATAGAAACATCACATTGCATAGTCATTATGAAGTCAATAAATCCTGTAATATGACATATTATAAAAATCCATTAAAACAAAATGAATGGGTTAACGGAGTATAACAATACAGATGTGCCAAAAGTGCTAAAATGATGATGATATAATATACATGTATTGATGACTTTATTGTTGTTATAACATATTTCATATAATTTCAAAGTTTTACATCAAGACTCAATTAAAAGTACATGTTTGTTAATGCTATAGTATATTCCTACTTGCAAATTGTGCATGAATGATGGCATATACTTTTATGCTGTCTGTGATGTAGCCTTTAAAAATGCTTGAGTTGCTTTTTTCCCGTTCATATAATATGCAAAATATTTGAACACATTGATTTTTCAAGTGAGAAATACAACAAACACTACAGGAATGAGCGCATCGTCCACTTAATAAAGATTTACTACATTGACATTTCACAGTGAATTACTTTCTATTTACTTTCTATTTTCTAACATTAGTAACAATGTCAATAACTAACTCAGTCAATGTCTTCGAGCCGATCCGAGATAGCCAGACTAATGTTACGCTACATACTATACATAGATCATAGATACTGTACTATAGTATATATGGATTTTCTTGGTTAGTACATCCAGTGACTGTGAAATTACCTGTGAAACGTCTTCCCACAGTCAGCAAACCGCTTGATTTTGAAGCCAAATGCTAAACATGTAGGCATTTTTACTGCGCATCTCCGTGGGAGTGAGGAGTACCAATATGGCAGCCGGTGGCTTCACTTTTTTTATTATTATTCTTATTATTAATGTTATCTCTGACTCGTCTTTCAGGTGATTAAATGGAGGTCTAAGATGCCTCCTAATCATTCTGACAGCAGCAGTCTGAACTGTGGTCCAATCCAAGATGGCTGTCTTCTACGCAAGTCGGCTTAGCTGCCAACAGCGTCCAATGAGGCGTCTACGTATATAATGTCTATGAGCAGAACAAAAGTGCAGTTTAAAAAATAAATTGGAAGATTTTTATTAACCTAAACAACTCTAGACATATAGCCCCAACACGAAACCTAAGCAATAGATGGATAAAATATTAAGAACTACTTAGCAGCTATCTGTAGCTTCAGAACAATGTGATCACCAAAGAATGTACGAGCTAGAATCAGTCATGATGTATAAAACGTTTGATAATAAAGATGATTATATTATTATAGTTGGTATCTTTAGGGCTAAAATTCAGGGCTGGGGCTAGAGGACAAAAATCAAGAAACTGCAAACGATTATCTTCGTCAGCCCACCGGAGGGGGAAATTTAATCTATAGACATGTCAAATTCGATAATGCTATCCAAGATTCACAATACAGAGCTCCTCTCACAAAGCTTTTTTCCCCCCCCCAAAAGATACAGCATCCATCTCAGTTGTATTTATACCTATTGTAACCGTGTGGAAGCTAATTGGATTGTGTGTGTGTCTATTTTGTCTGTTTCTTCCTAAAAGACATAATTGCATGGTTTTTAAATGGCCTCAAATAATATTGCTCCTATAGTGTTTCAAGAACAGGAGTCCTGCTTGAAACATTGATGGTGCCAAGTGCTGTATATAAGCCTAAGGAATCATTTAAAAATAACTACTTTGCATCAACTCTTTAGCTCAAAAAGTCTGCGGTGTACATTTAAGTATCAATTATATTATAAATGAATGTTATAATGTTTAATTGTCATATTCCTAATTATACTCATCAATGTTATTTTTAAGAAAAAAGAAAAGCAAAAGCTTTTAAAATAGTTCAAAAAGTAGGAAACAATACAGTTTGGCCAAAAGCAATATACTAATAAATAAGCTTTTTTCTTCCTCAAAAAAAAAAAAAAAGTTAGCGCAACGGCTTGCCAAAAAAAAAAAATCAAATAAAAGTGACACCTCCTAGATCTAGTTTGGCTTATGCTCTGTACGCGATTGAAGCAGCAATAGGAGATGGTTTACATGCAAAGTCAATGGTTGACGCGCATTAAACGGTCCTGCAGCGTGTTTTGAGCAGCAGGAGCAGCGCATCTTGAAGCAACTGAGCAGCCGAATCAGCGCCTCATGAGCTTTTGAGCATTTGATGCACATGACGCGCTTCACAAGCAGCAGCTAGTGGAGATGGAAAGAATGAAATGTTGCTGCTTTACGCACCTCAACAACCAATCAGAGAAGCTGATCTGAGGATGGCAGGGAGACAGACACAGCGCTGCTGAAGAAGATAACTATGATCACTCCTCTGAAACTGTTTATTATCTCCTATATTAACTTAAAATGTCAAAATCTGCTGGCAAAATATGTTCGCTTTTATTATTCTGATGCGTGCAGTTTGGATTACGTACATGAAATCCACTAACACCTGTGATCTAATCATGGTGTCTAATCAGCATCTTGATATGGCACACCTTTGAGGTGGGATGGATTATCTCAGCAAAGCAGAAGTGCTCACATCACAGATTTAGACCGGTTTTTGAACAATATTTGTGGGAAATTATTTTTGTGTATGTGGAGAAAGTTTTGGATCTTTGAGTTCATCTCATAAATTGAGTGTAAAATAAAATGATGAATTCATGCTTAAAGGAAAACGTTTTTTTTTTTTTACATTGGGCCCTTGATTTTACGTTATTACATCATGTTCTACTCACCCTAGGGGTGGAACGGTATATGTTGATTGTTACACCGAAATCCCATAAAAATTAATGAAATTAATGAAAAAATCCCCAAAAAAATTATGAATTGTAATTATCTGTAAAAATCTGGCGCATGCCCTCTACGATCTCCAAGGAATTCAGAGCGGAGCGGACGGGTGCCACAGCGGAGGCTGTAGGCTTTGCTTTGAGCAGGCGGTCTGGAGCGCAGCGGGGCGGAGCGCTGACGGAGTATGTGGGATTTCGGGGTTAGCCTGACATGTTGGTCATGTTGCTGTTAGCATAAACAAAACGTGTTGCACAATGCTTGCACACTGTTGCACTTTTATCCACAACTTTCTTTCCGCCGTCATTGTAGGTCACTCTAAATGCAAAGTGGTCCCATACAGCAGACCTTTAAAGTGCTGCTGGCGCGTCTTCCAACTCCTGTTCTTTCCCACTCGCCATACCCACACAATTCTCCACAACAACTGATTTTTTTCGGCTACACCCGGCTACGCTGCTTCGCTTCTTCTTCTTCTTGTTTACTACTGGTGGTTGGCTTTGGTCGCAGTACCGCCACCTTCTGCTCTGGAGTGTAAACGCTTCGCCTATGAGAAAAAGGAGCAGCGCATGAACCGAACGCAACACACGCGAACCGAACCAAGACGGTTTTCATAAACCGTTCCATCCCTAACTCACCCATATGAGTTTTGTGTCTTGTCGAGCTGTTCTGAAGATATTCCGTTAGGTTATATCCAAGTAACGTAAGCAATGCTGGCGTACCATAAATGATAAATTATGAACATTTTAGTTTGTGCCTTCAACTTGTTGCCCACAGCACGACGTTAATTTGATATATCCTAAGGGAATATCTTCAAACTCATATGGGTGTGTAGAACATGATGTAATAATACAAAATCAAGGGTCCAATGTAAAAAAAAAACCTGACGTTTCCCTTTAAAATTATTTACAAGTCTGGCAGTTAGAGATTTAAGTGCTCTTCATTCTATCCAGAAAGTGTACGAAACAAGGTGGTATCTCTTCAGATATAAAGTAAGAGGAAGAAAGTACAAAAAGACTCTGCTTTCCCTGCATCCATCCATCCATCCATCCATCCATCCATCCATCCATCCATCCATCCATCCATCCATCCATCCATCCATGCATCCATCCATCCATCCATCCATCCATCCATCCATCCATCCATCCATCCATCCATCCATCCATCCATCCATCCATTTTCTGTCTCGCTTATCCTTACTGGGGCCGCGAGGGGTGATGGTGCCTATCTCCAGCTGTCTACAGGCGAGAGACAGGGTACAACCCTGGACAGGTTGCCAGTCCATCGCAGGGCAACACAGTTTTCCCTGCAGGAGTTGTGTAATGAAATAAAAGGAAGAATTAATTCCCTTATGGAACCAGCATCGGTGCAGCGGGTCACAGACGAGTGAGGCGGTGTTTAAACATGTCAACTGTGTGACGGCCTTTGCATAATATAATCCATTGCCAGTGTTGCAGGCTGTTAATTTATGTCATCAACTTTAAGCCACACTTTTAAATGCTGCAGCATAAACAAATGGCTGCGCGTGCACACTTCTGTAGATTCTTCTTTGCTGATATTGGGAAGCTTTTATTTCCAGTCGGTGGACTGGTTCTGATCAAATATAGATTCTACAAATATAGATTCCCCTAATCCTAATGCAAGCATTTCTGTGTTTCTGGCAGTTGTTAAAGAAGAGCTTCTTGAGGAGCAGAGTACTGATGTGGAACAGCAGAAACCAGAGATTCTACATGTAAAGGAGGAACAAGAGGAAAGTTGGGCCAGTCTGGAGGGAGAAGAATGTAGTGCAAAGGAGGAGCCTGATGCCACAGGATTCCCCACAATTGAAGTTCGTGTGTGGAATGAAGATGATGAAGAGAAACCTTTGCTTAAACAACCCCTAATAGAAAACCTAGATGTAAAAGCAGAAGCTGATGAAGAGGGATGTTGGGGGACAAAATTCATCAGTAACCCAGATCTAAAAACATACGGTAACGCTCCTCTCTTATCAGAAACTAAAGTTTGTGAGGATAAGGATGTGAACTATCCCAGCGCTAGGCTCAAACACGTATCAGAGTCTGAGACTGAAGACAGTGATGATGATTGGAAGAAGGGTATAAATTTGGAGGGAAGCACTGTCAACAAGTCTATGAGCAGCTCTGAGTGTGAAAAAACATTTAACACGCTGTCTTTTCAGAGGAAAATGTGTTCAGTAAAAAGTTCTTCTGACTGTCCATTTAATAAATGTTTAAGAGAGATGGAGGATGCAGACCCACGTATAGAAGCTCCGACAGATTCTAAAAGGTTTCGCTGCAATGAATGTGGTAAAAGTTGGAATTCTAAAAAGTATCTAACCGTACACATGAGAAATCATTTAGGAGTTAATACATATGATTGTGAAGTTTGTGGAAAAAGAATGAAAACAAAATCCAATCTAAAGACACACCAGAAAATTCACACGGGTGAAAAACCGTTTGGTTGTGATATGTGTAGTAAAAGATTTCTATGGAAATCTTCTTTAGACATACATACCAGAATTCACACAGGTGAAAATGTTTTTGGTTGCCATGCTTGTGGTAGAAGATTTACACGAAAATGTGACTTAAACGTGCATATGAGAACTCACACTGGTGAAAAAGCTTTTGGTTGCCATGTTTGTGGTAAAACATTTACAAGGAAATGTGACCTAAATGTGCATATGAGAACTCACACTGGTGAAAAAGCTTTTGCTTGTGATATTTGTGAAAAAATATTTCCACTAAAGTCTCATTTAAATGTGCATATGAGAATTCACACTGGCATGAAAACTTTTTGCTGTGATGCTTGCGGTGAAACATTTTGTGATGGGTCAACTTTAAAAAAACACATGACAAGTCACACAAGTGAAAAACCCTTTAGTTGTGATGAATGTGGTAAAAGATTTCATGTAAGGTCAATCCTTAAAAAACATATGAGAACTCACACAGGTGAAAAACCCTTTAGTTGTGATACATGTGGTAAAAGATTGTGTGACAAGTTGACTCTGGAAAGCCACATTAGAACTCACACAGGGGAAAAACCCTTTAGTTGTGAAGTTTGTGGTAAAAGCTTTCATAGCTGGTCAACACTAAGAAAACACAGTAAAACGCACACAAAAGAAAAACCCTTTACCTGTGATGAGTGCGCGAAAAGTTTTCTTGAACCATCAATTTTAAAAAAACACATAAAAACTCACACTGGTGAAAAACCCTTCAGTTGTGATGTATGTGGTAAAAGATTTCGTGACAGCTCTGGTCTGAAAATTCATGTAAGAACTCACACAGGTGAAAAACCTTTTAGTTGTGATTTGTGCGGTAAATGTTTTTGTGAGCAATCAAGTCTAAACAAACACACAAAAACACACAGATTAAAAACCCTTTAGTTGTGATGCTTGTAGTAAAAGATAAAAATAAAAGTCAATTTAAAAAAGCACATGAAATCTCACACGGATGAAAAACCCTTTAGTTGTGACGTGGTAAAACATTTTGTGACAAGTCGTATTTAAAAAGCCATTTGAGAACTTACACAGGTGAAAAATCTCTTAGTTGTGATGCTTGTGGTTAAGATTTTGTAGACAATGAAGTATGAAAAAAAATCACATAAAAATGTACAGGTAAAACCGTTTCGGTTGTTGTGTCTAATGTTTTGATTGTCTCTGATTTACTGAACGTTTTTGAACGTCAAACTTAGAAGCATGGTATGTTGAGGTCAGAAACTGCTCTCTGAGCTGCTCTGTTCTTTATTTGGAATCTAGAAATTGGCTTGGCTTTATTTGCTTTGATAAGTTGGACATAAATTCAACACATTTTTGAGCGAGAAAGTAGACTTCAAACCCTCATCTGTGAAGTCAGTTTAAAAGGATTATGATCTTAGTTCATAGTGGCTTAGGTTATTCTAAGTTTTTTAGATTTGTACCAGAATATAAAATCAATTATTTTTCAGCCTTAGGTTTTAACATTTTTAGTTAATGGCTCAACTCTAACAAACTCTGCTCTTCCAACTAAGCCTGTGAGGAAATGCGTCTTAGCTCAGAGTCTGCGCCTTGCCCTGCATACTGATGGTTCACTCTCAGGACTATGGCTCTTCCTGCGATCGCTACTTAATAAACTATATGTGGCTGATCATTCTCAGCTGACCATAAAAAATCCTTTGGTCTAACTATCAAGGTTTTATTTTATCCAGCTCACAAGAGGTAATAACCTCCTTTAAATTCTACAAAAATATATTCCTAAATTATATCTAAAGCCAGGGGCGTGCACACATAGACACTAGGTGGTGCTAAAGCACTAGGAAGTTTGCCCTCTATCAAAGAAAATGCCCTTTTGAAACTCGTTTTTTTTATTATTATTAATATTATTAAGATTTTACTGAGGTCGGTTTTGAAATGATCTTTTGAAAACCTGAGCCATAAAAAACGACTGAAACAATGCCCCGAAATGACCGACCTACTTGCGCACACCCGACCAGCCTCTCTCTCTTCCTTTGTCACGTGAACTCGCTCGGTCGCCCGTAGGGCATGCCAGATGCGCAGCATCATAGCAGTTTTCAGATAGCAGGAACGGTCGCTGACAGGCTGCTTCTCCCGTGCCCTATTAGCCAGGTAATATACAGATCAAGCAGAATCATTTTGTTGTGCATTAAAATGTCTCATTCAGCAGCACCAAACACGCATTTTGCCGACTGGTCACCAGATAAACTAGTTGTCTCCTTGTAAGATGCTATTTTACTTTTTATATTTTGTATCCATATTTTTTATCTTAAGTGTATACATTAGTCTATTTTATTGCATGACGTATACCCACAGTTTTGAGATATTTTTATAATTTATTTACCTATTCCATATTATATGTTTCATGTTGCACGATTGTACCATAAAAAATTCCTAGTTTGTGAACTCCTTCACTAACAGTGGCAATAAACCTGATTCTGATTCTGAAAGTTTTACACTGCAGCCCAAGTCAATGACAGATAACGTGAGGACGACCACATAGGCTACAAATAATTTTGGTAGAGTTTGCAATTGCAAATCTACGGAAGAGGATTAGGGCCACTGAAAAAAAAAAATAAGTTAACTGATTTTTAAATTTTATTTCAGTTTAGTATGGGAAAAAAGTCAGAATGCTGACTTTAATCTCATAATTCTAACTTTTTTCTCATAATTCTGACTTTTTGCTGAGAATTCTGACTTTAATCTCAGAATTCTGACAATAAAAAAGTCAGAATTCTGACTTTTTTCCCATGTTAAACTGAAATAAAATTTAAAAATCAGTTAACTTTTTTTTTTTCAGTGGCCCTAATCCTCTTCTGTACAAATCTATGTGTTAAGACAAACGTTTTCTGTTGTATAGGTTTTGTTAGGCAACATAAATTAACACATTTTGGTCTCTTTATTGTCTTAATTGTATATTGATTTAGTAATTGCAGCACAATGCCAAGAAAGGAGGGTTAATCATATTGAAAAATCTTAAAAGCTGTTCACATTTTATTTTTAAGTGGTTTGTGCAGCAGGTATTAAAATAGCTATTATTTTGTAGGCTACCATAAGTCATATCCACGTGACAAGACTTCCAGTCATGTTGCCCTAAAAGCCCATTATTTAAACTAATGTGGCATATTTGTTAAAGCTATTATTATTATTATTATTATCATTATTATTATTATTATTCTCATGATGGTTATTATTAATATATTGTAGCCAGTCACAGCAGGGAAGCTCTATACCATCAACATATAACAGGACAGGAGATGAGGAAGAGTTCAGGGAAGACACAGAGACAGAAAAAGACCAGGATGAGGGAGAACAGATGGGTGAGGGAAAACAGGGAGATGAGCCAGATGAAAGAAGTATGCTTTAGTCTTTTCTGTTGGTGATGTGACTTTTTTCCATTGAAAACTCACGTTTAGAGAATGTTACAAATAAAAGTCAAATTTCATTCAACATGCGTTTATTTTTTTTTATAATTAAGTGTTACACGTGCGCTAAAAAGTGCCCCCCCCCCTCCTGAGCACCTGCCCCCCAAAATGTCTGTGCACGCCTCTGTCTAAAGCAAATATTTCATTGCATTCAACATTTTACTTAACATATTGAAATTTAGGTCCAGAGTGAAATGGTATTAAAAGGCAATTATGTAGGTTCACTTTTTTTTTTTTTTTTTTTATAACAGACCCCTATGAATTTAAATATGCTTTTACCTCTAAGCAGCAGAAACCAAGGGGAAACTTTTAAGAAAAAAAGCCAAATTTGCCAGAGTAGAAAGAAGAATGTTTTTGTGCTTTGCTTTTTTGTAGTACTGAAGATTGAGGTGTGTAAGGCATAATTCATAGATCAGGAAGTGTGTGCTTTTTGATATAAACCTTGTATGTCTAAAACCATTCCTTTATTGTACATTTTGTTAGCTTGTCTGTCTGCTATTTTAACCAGCTAGATGTGTTGAACTAGTGTAACGGCCTCTTGGAATTAACAGCCAAACGCAGGGAGTTCCAAACAGGTGCAGTTTAATCTTTACTTTTCTTGTCACAGACACCGCAAAAACTGCTGCATGAAATACAAGAATATGTAATTGTTGGACATGCTTAACTTAACATGCATAAAATTAAAATCTGAATGTTCTCACATACAACAAAAAAGGATTTGTTTTGTCCTTAACTCGTCAGCATACAGTTTTGTTTTTTCAACAAATAAACCGTTGATGTTACACTGATTCAAAAATAAATGAATAACATTTATCACAAATCACAATTGTGCATATTTATACCTCATTCTGCTTTCCAAGGGCACTATTTTAACAGTTTTCTTCTGGTTCCTTCAGGATCTAATGCTGTCTCAACATGCTTAGCAAGAACAGAAGGTGCAGCAAATCACAAAAAAAACACAAGTAGGCTATTAATTCATAAAATTCATAAAAACATCTACAGTGAAGAGGCGGCTGCGGGATTCTGGGCTTCAGGGCAGAGTGGCAAAGAAAAAGCCATATCTCAGACTGGCCAATAAAAGAAAAATATTAAGATGGGCAAAAGAAGACAGACATTGGACAGAGGAAGACTGGAAAAAAGTGTTATGGACAGATGAATCCAAGTTTGAGGTGTTTGGATCACAAAGAAGAATGTTTGTGGGGTTGTTTGGAGCTGGTAAGGTGGGAGATTTGTACAGGGTCAAAGGGATTCTGAATAAGGAAGGCTTACAGTGGGTACTAGTTGGAAATGGACGGTTTCCTGCCTGATTCCTGCGTGAATCACAATGTATTTCCTGAGGCCAGTTTTTTTATTTCAAAAAGAACTGCAATGTACCCGGACAACCACCAGACGGCACTTGGGAACTTTTTTTTTCTCCTTAATCCAGGCTGTTAAGATGCTGTCTTTAAAGCAGGTTTATTGGGGATCTTGGTGTGATATTGTGCTATTTTATGATGTTTTTCATTAAATTAAAGTTAATGAATTAATTTAATGTAGTGACTGCATTATCTTATTTCAGGAAAATTGTTGCATACTGTATAGGCGCAGTAATAGATACACCCTGCGATCTTATCTGAGAACTGTTTATTTCTATTTATCTGCATCTCTATTATTTAATGAAAAATGATTATAATTAATCTTTTTGGCAAAACAAATAACTGAATCAATAAAGGTCCGTGGATCATCCGTCCATTCGGGAGGGAGGGGGGTTCATGCAACGTCATTCCATCACCGGTATCTTGGTATCCAATCAGCTCACTGACTTGAGCGTTGATCAAAGCCATCTCTGACAACACCATTGAAATACCACTATTTATCAAGACTGTCTGGCTGCAGCACCGCGGCTGTCAGACCAGTTCCGCTGCAGGCCCCTGTCTCAGGCCACCTCCACCGTAGGGCCGATGTTGTGCGAAAAAGTGAATGTCTGCGAGATTCTGATTGCGCTCGCGGGAGCACGCATCGCAGCCCGCTGAGCGATAGCGTAAACCTGCTTTTCTCTGGATTAAACGGTCATGACATGCAGATACACACAGTTGCATTATAATATAGGCCTAATTAAATTATAATATAGGCCTAATTAAAGATTTTTTGCAAGTCAAAATGGCTGTTTTGTGTTGTAATGGTGCTTTAAAGGAGTTCCAAGCTGTTTTGTGAGCTCAGGTCTTTAAATCATGCATCTCCTGAAGGAAATCTAGTCATATTTAGGTAGAAATAACCTTTGAGTGACTATACTGTGCCTTCAATCAATTTTTGACAGGAACGAAAGAAAGACACACTAGTTTGTCGTCATTATTGTCTCTTACGACTTAAATCTGAGCTAAGTTATAAAAATCAAAGTTCTTAAAACAAAAAAGTCAAACAAGATCAAAAATTCAGCAGTGCAGCTAGTCCACGCCAGGTGTTTATTGCAAAACACAACACATTGCACACGGACTGGTCACCGTGAGCTGAGCTGACAATTGAAAACAGTCCTTATACATTCTTATCAGTGAAACCCCCTCAGTAAATATTTTTATATATTTAACGACAGTCTTGTAAAGTCACATTAGCATGCTTACTGCAAAGTCACATGACGATTCATAGACACATCACATCTGGAGGGTCTATCAGCAATGAAGACATCGTGCCTTAATCAGAACTTATGAAGTCAACACAAACATGTTAATTAAGTCCTTCCATTCAGAGTCATCTGTAATCCCTAGGTCCTATGATTGCATCACTTTTGAATTTGCAGTGTGCCTTGAATAACTCTATTTATCAAAGTTGTATTGGCAAATTTGCTACTGGAACCTTGATATGTAAATATTCATTTATAATGAGTGTGCTTTCTTATCACTAAGGCTCACCTGCGTTCTGCAGATTCCACTCCTCTGGCCAGTGCCACGATACAATCTCACTGTCTGTTTTTTCTTTTGGCTGATGGCTCTTCATAACATATTGTGAAAACAACTTTAAACTTATAACATTACTTTATTTTATTTTGAATGTGCAGATATACACCATTAGGTAGTCCATTGTTGCAGATAAGGACTGACATGATTAGAGTACGTCTTTCTGATTTATTTGAAGAAGATATTATTTAATGTCCAGTTTGTTTGATTCCTTCAATGTTCCATCCTTTCCTTAAATCTATCTTTGACTTGCATATTTAATACACTCAAACAGCACATGTTCTACTGTTTCTGGTTGACTACACATGTCACATTTTCCTGTTGGATGGTTCCCAATAACATGCAGTGATGCATTTAGCCTCGTGTGGCCTAGCCTAATTCTACTAAACATCCCC